CCCCCCACCCCCGCTTGTGCTCTCGTTTTCTCTCTTCCTCTCTGTCAATAAATAAAATATATATTAAAAAAAAAAAAGAAAATATAATTTCCAATTGATGGCCATGTGGCTGGCAAAAATTAAAGTGCTGCTGTGGAAAGATATACCACATCCACCTTACAGATTTCTGTATCCCCTGCCAACTGCTCTATCCTCCAGGGAGGCCCCAGGGAAGCATGGTCTAAGCATGCATCGGCAAACTTTTCCTCTCAAGAGCCACACGGTAAATATTTTAGGCTCTCTGGGTCACATACTCTCTGTGGCAACTACTCATGTCTGCTGTCGTCGAGCAAAAGAGTTATAGGCTATATGACTATATGTAAACAAAAGAGCATGGCTATTGTTTTACACATCCATTACAGTAAAACAAATTACTATACATTTACAAGTTTACATCATCACACATTTAGTATCTCACAATTACTGTGGGTCAGGAGTGTGAGTCCTGCCCGTGGAATCTCACAAGGCTGCAATCATGGTCAGTTGGGGCTACGTTCTCATCTGCAGGCTTGACTGGGAAAGAGTCCACTTCCTAACTCACTTGTGTTGTTTGTCGATTTATTTCCCGTGGCTGTGGGGCTGCCGGCATAGGGCCTCGGCTTCTTGCTGGCTGCTGGTTGTCCTCAGCTCCTAGAGGTCACCCACAGTTCCTCACCATATGGCCACTTGCTTCTTCCAAGCCAAGAAGGGAAAAAATCTCTAGAGTAAGTTTCATGGCCCAATAGAATTTTACATAATGCAACAACCAGGGGAGGGACATCCCATTTCCTTTGCCACCATTTGCATGGTTAGAAACAAGTAACAGGTGGTGCCCACAGTCGAGGACAGAGGACTGTACTGAGATGTGAATACCAAAAGGCAGGGATGACTGGGAGTCTGTCTACCATAGCTTTGTTCCAATAAAACTTGATAAAAACAAAGGATGGGCTGGACATAGTTTGCTGACCCCTGGAATAATGAATAAGGTGTAGAAGACATTGTTTAAGGTAAGCTATAGAAATTCAAAGAATAGAGAGTTAGAGCAAAAGATTGGTCAGAGCCAGGAGAGCTATACAGAAAGAGAGTCCTAGAAGAAAAATTTCATATTCTGATTCTATCCTATAAGATACAGATTATCTTACCATGTTAATAAAAAATTAAAAGTGAGATAGATTGGCATCATGTTTGAAACCGGTGATCATAGGATAGAGTTTTTATTAGAACTCCAAGTAAATTTAAAGGGAAGGGGCTCCATAGCAAGGTTTCTGCAATTCCGACTTAAATTCAAACCTACCTGGAACAATTTCAATAGAAACCCTGGTCATTTTCTTAATGATTATGAAAATGACAGCCAACATTTATTATGTGATTATTGCAAATCAGGAATTATGTTGTTTAACATGAATTCTCTCATTTAATCTACATGAACACTCCCATGTTATGTAGATTATTTTTATTCCCATTACAAAGATGAAGAAACTGAGCTTGAGCAAATTGAGCACCACAAAAAGTAGTGGAACTAGAACATGACTCTTAAGTCTGTCCCAAGGGTCCAGACACTTAAATTTTATTTCAAGTGTAACAGGATGCCTTTGAAGGGTTCTAAGCAGAGAGATGGTATAATTAATGTGACTAACGTTCCAGAAATATCAGCTGTGTGTGAAGAGAGGGTTGAAGAGGGGTAGAGCGGAGGCAGAAAGGCCAGGGCAAAGGTGGTGGTATAGCCTGGAAATGGCAGTGCCCTGGAGATACATTTGCAAGCCATTTTGGTGGTAGAGGTGACAGGACTACCTCCTAACTGTAACGCATTCTACTCTCTTCTTGTTCACGACACTCTGGTCACATGGATCTTCTTTGGTCCTGAAAGGTGCTAAGCCTTTTCCAATCTCTGGGATGCTGGATGGGCCATTCTCATTGTCCAGAATGCTTTTTCACTCTAGTCTTCTATTGTTTACTCTCTTCTTCAATTGCTTTGTTCTACCTCATCCCACAGGACTCACTTCAAATCTCACTTCCTCCGAGAATCTTTCCTTGATGCCCCAATCTAAGTTTGGTCCTACCTTTTTCTCTAAATAGAAGCCAATTATTTTTCATCCCATACTTGTTCACAATTTATTACATTTTCTTGCTTTTTAAAAATTGACTGTTTAACATATTATGCTTTAAGAAGCCAGGAACCATATTTATTTTCTTCATCATTGTTAACACGGTGCTAGCCTATGAAGTTCCTAGAATCACAGGCACTCACTGAATATTTGTTGAGGAAATGAATGTCTGACTTCAGTGTCCTTACACTTAAATACCATGCTAGTACTGCTCACATTTGCTGATTATAGAAGTTACCAGTGTGACATAGCCCAAGTAATTAGGGATGTTCCAGTGTCCAGTTCTCTCTCACCCAATGCTCTTCCCAAAACCTGGTCCCAGGTTAAGGAGAATGTGGAGAACGAAACGTGCAGTAGGAGAAAAGAGTGATGAAGTTGTCCTGAGGCAGGTGAATTCTCCTTTACTGTTGGTGACGGTATAAATGGATATGGGCCTTTGGGAAAAGAATTCATCAATATGCAAAATGACTTTAAAATAAATGTAAGTAGGGGTGCCTGGGTTTCTCAGTCAGTTGAGCATCTGACTCTTGATCTCAGGGTCGTGAGTTCAAGCCCCATGTTGGGCTCCATGTTGGCTATGGAGCCTACTTAAAAATAAATAAACACATAAATAAATAAGTGTTTAAGTAAAAACATAAGAGCATACACAAAAAGGCATGTGTGTGTGTATGTATTTGCCTAAGATGTCTGAAAAGATATAGACCAGAAGTTTCCAAGTAGTTTAGGTGGGCACTTCTGGGAAGTGGGAGTGAGACTGGCAAAACAGGAACTTTTTTTTTTTTTTTACTATGGGCAACTATGATTTTTATAATAAAATACCATTAAAGATAAAAATGGGAAATAAATCTTCATATTTCTTAGGTAATTCCACCTCTAGTAATCTATACTAATAAAATAATGACAGATGTGGTCCAGGGGTTATAAAGATATGCCATCAATGAGTTCTACAGTATGTTAAAAAAATGCAAATAGACTAAACGTCCAACAACAGATTAGGTAACTACATTAAAATTGTTTTAGATAATAAGGACAGGAAAAATGCTCATGTATAATGTTACAGAAGCAAAGCAAAGTATTAAACTGTATTTACGGCATTATTCCCATGTGTTAGGAAAGGAAGAGAAAAGAATGAGAAAGATATATGGGTAGAAAAAACCCCATTACAGTAAAATCTACCAAAATGTCATTAAATGGCCATTTTGGATGATAAGAGTCTATACTTTTAGGTTATTTCTTTATGATTTTTGGTTTTTCATCATTAAAAAGAATCACAAATTACTACTGGAGCATTGCAGGTATTATTTGTAGTAGGTGTAAAAATAGTACATTGGTTCCTTTCTGGCCTAAGTCTATTTGTGTTCAGTCCTCTGGTCAGGCACTCATGTTAAGAGTGCTGAGAGAGGGGGTTCCAGCACTTGACCCTCCAACTCCCTTATTTCTATGAAAAAGTCACAGGTATTCAGCACTGTTTGGGAATGGTATTTTCTTTGATCTGTGTATCATAGCAACGCTGGCACCTTAAAGAATGACATGATCTGCAATTAAATATATTTTGGGAATAGTTATGTTTCTCAGTTGGAATCAGACCTTCTATTTGTCCTTTCTTCAATGCCTTTGGTCAGACTTTCTTGAACTAGACTCATCAAGAGGAAACCACTTACCGCATTTTTGCACAGTTTTAGGTAATACTCCTAGAGAGTATAAAACCAGGTCTTTTAGGGAGCATAAAATGAGCTACTAATCGAGAATTTCATTTTGGACTGTCACGTTTAATTTAGATACCTACACTGGGAGTTAAATTGGCCATTAAACCAATGAAAATTTCTACCTATCCATATGGTCACTGTCAGGAGGCCCTAACAAATTCAACTTGAGATGAGGTATGTGTTTTTGTATATAAGAAGTCTGAAGGAATAGTTACCAAAATGCGTAAGTAGTCAGGTTTTTCCCTCTGGAACTGGCAGAACAGAGTGTAACAAAATAAGACAGCTCCCATAAGCTACATATGGAAATAAATCCTGTTGTATTAGAAACACGTCTTCCAGATATCTTGTCAATAGAAGTTTTAAGTTAATAAAACTTTTCAAATTAATCAACTACGGACAGCAACTATAATACTACTTCCTGAAATCATCCAAACTCGCAATCGTTCTAAGCAACAACATAGAGCACACATACAAATAAGGGCATAAACTCCATACACTGAACATTTATTTGAGAGACCTTCAACACAGATACCTCACAGAAGGACTGTGATTTAATTTCAATGGCTGTTTGTTTAACCATAGGACCTTTCTGAGATCAAATTCCTTCATATGAAGAAAGTCACATTTGACTCAAATCAATGTCCATGTCACCTTCAATTTCTCCCCTCCCAACTCCCCACTCCCACCGGCTCTGTTTCTCTCTGTGGAAACTAGAGAACAAATATTTCATTCATAAAAGATCCAACTGGTTAATATTTTTTTATAGGCAACCATACTCACGTTTATATATAGTCACAGCATAAAATACTGTGTACTTCGGTTCACCTAATTCCAAATCATAAAAATTTTATTGACTACAATTAATTAACATATTTATAGAAAGAAAATGTAAAAGGTATCTGTTTTGAAATTTTAAGGATAATGACTTAGCACTCATGACAATTATTTTTATTTATGATCTGAATCTCTCCCTTACTATGAAGTGAATCATTATTAATTTGCAGCACAAAGAAAAGCACACAGAAACCTGGACTATTATTAGATCATTACACTCAGACAAAAATATTAAAGTGCACTGAGAAGCTCCCACTGGAATTAACTGATAAACTACTACCAGCTCTCTTTTAAATTTCTTTCCTATGTTATTTCCCAAGCAAAATATCATTATACTCAAGGAAAAATAGAGTATCTGATTGCATTTGGTTGCCTTCTTGCTTTAATAAGATAATTACCAGAGTTTTGTATTCTAAGGTACACATTATTCCTTGTATCCAGGGACCCTCCTTGATACATAAAGGTGTCATCAAATATGTAAAAAATGAACAGGTCAGACAATAAAGCAAAAACAAGACAGTAATAACAATATGGTATTTACTGTTTCCTTTTAAGCGAAAGCATTCTTTACAATTGTTTGCCATTGGCTCACAGAAGGAGAGAATGGGTATTAGAAGCTCTCGAAACAATGATCTCCCTTGGCTGTTATTTCTCTAAGAAGCGGTAAGCCCTGTCGTTTACAAGAAGAAAGCTACTGAATCCTTCAGAAAACATAACCTGGCGGCCCATCGTCAGTTCAGAATGATGAGGTGGCAGGAGTGTGATGGAGAAGCCAGTCTTTAGGAGCATCATGTGAGGGAATCCAGCTGCGCTTGTATGGTCTCCAGCTATTCATAAAGACAAAACAAGAGAAAAGTTGCTGAAAGGCGAGAAATGCATATGAAGGGCTGCTCAGAAACTTGCTGAGGGGAGGGACAGATTGGCAGCGGCAACCATGCATATTAAATCCATTCACATAGCAACAGATTCACCACGTAGGAAAGTTTTCTTTTCATATGAAGGTATTAGAATTCATGGCTGCGATCTAAGTTTTCCAATGTGCCAAGGAGGATTTCTAAATTCTACTATTTTAAGTACACTCAGCTGTTTTAATTTAAATGATCACTACACAAGACTTTTGAAGTTGGGGGGTGGGGGAGTGCATCTTCCTGGCTCACAAAGTCAGGATTTGGAAAGAAACATGACAAACACTCAAAGATAAATCTTTATAGGCCTGGCACCTCCCTTTCCTCTTGGGCCCAGAAATTAAAATATTTAATGTTAAATATACCTAAAGTGCCAGTGTGGCTAAGTACCACATAGTTCATTACTGAATGCTTTGCTTTAAAGTAACAATCCCATAGCTTTAATTAAAACCATTTCCACTTTCTTCCTGATTTAGTTTGTCAGATTCTCTTCGGCTCGGCAATGCTTCCCGCCGTGAAACATACGGTGTTTACAAGGGATGTTTAAAGAACTTAGCTCCATAACAGGTCACTTAAAAATAAGAATTCATAAAAAGAAGGCAACATTATGTAAAACCCCATATAGCAGAAATTATTTTAAAAATATAGACCTTGTTATAGAAATCAAACAATTCCTTGTGACTGAATTCCACAAGAACTTTCTCCACGCTCTGTAAGGAAGAAAAAGAAAGAACGAATTTAGTTGTATACAATGCACACTGCAGTTTTTTCTCTCTGGCTAGCCCCAGAATATGCCCTCTTATTCTCTGAATGGTTTTAAAAAAATACTTACGTGCTCCACTCAACCCCACTGTTGCTAGAACTCACAGACACGCTTAATGACACTCCACTTTAGCAAAAGGTTTCAACTCTATAGGGACATCTGTTCTTTACGTTGACTCCACAAAGGTTAATAAAATAGAAGCCAGCAAGAGAACAATTTCATTATCTATTTTTTTTTCAAGATAGAGATAATATAGGAGATTGTATTTCATCTTTCTCAGCAGTCCATTCGGAATCTAGCAAATACCATTACGCAAAGACACTGGAGGCAGCATATCTGATTGAACGCATCCAGCCATGAATGCCTCCCGTCAGCACAGCTGCGGCCTCCAAGCATTAATCTAGCAGTTACGATCTTAACATGCTGAGATGGTTACCTTTCCTAATGTACAGACTCAGCAAAAGTCCACAATTAACATGACAGCTTCAAAGCGGAGACTTAACCACGCTCCTTCCTTTCACCTCAGATGTGACGGGGGAAGCTTCGTGGGAGCCGTGGGTGCTGAGGGATACTGGGCACGTCTGCACGACGGTGCAGCCGACAGCAACAGGAATCCGGCCCACACCAACCTGCTTTGGGTTGACTTTGTAAACTGGGGGAACACTTAAAGTAGTTTCTGAAGATTGGTCAAACCTGTCTGTTTTATTCAAGGTACCTCTGGCAAATGAAAGTTAATGAGGAGAGAAGGCCAAGAACGGGCTTCCTGCTCTGACCACACTGTCGTGCTCACGGGACATCCAACGGGCACCATGAACTGAAGAAGCGGACAAAGGTTGAAAAGAGACATGAATTCATATACTTAATTGCTTGAGGTCATTTCCAACATTCTCCTAATTCTCCTTCTGTTTCTATGGCTACTTTTTTCTTTGTCTTATCTGTTTTAATGGTTTCCATTTCTACTTACAAAGCCAACATTTTCAAAACGAAGTATCTCCAGGTAACTCCAGGAGGGTCAATGGGGCTATGTTCAGATATGGCACCTCCCTTTTCAAGAAGCCAAGGTACAGAGGATCAAATTCCACACATTTTCTTTGCTCCTGTAACACCTACCTAGGTAGTTAAGCTTTAAAATGAATCAAGCAGCATATCTGCTTTAAAGCCTCATCCTTTAGGAAGGATAAAAAAGTAATAGGCTAACTGACACACATCATTGAACTTCCAAAGGTTCAAATCAGCATTATCTAGCAGTGCTATATTTCCTCCCAGCAGTTAAAGGGAGAAGACAGGCCTCAGTTTACCCTATGGAAAAGCAAGGCAAGTTTATTATTTCCCCCCCAATCCAAACGTTAGGAGGGGCTGAAGACTGAATCAGTTTGGGAACAACTGGCTTGCTGTTCGTACACCCGAGGTCACAGCTAAGCTGGGTTCTTGGTTTCTGGATTTTGCTTTGTTTCAAGTTAGTGTTTTCTAAAAGGTTGCACTGAGGAAAAGGAAGGAAGGTGACTTTGAAAACATACTTCTTAAAATAACAACAGCTAAAATAATGTGTGTGCACATGCGCACCTGAGTGTGTGTATGTGTGTATGTATATATATAGGGAAAGATATGCATATATATTTAGTGTCTTGCTTTACTGAAATACTTAGCCCCAAGAAGGGGAAATGCTGATATCTGAGATAAAATACGCAAAGAACTTATGCCAATGTCTGGCAGGTATAATCACTGATAGCTATTATCATTATCATTTCTCATTCAACTCACAGTGACTTAGGGAAGACCACGAGAATATGGGAGAATACAGGAGTGGCTTTAAGTGTTCCGTATCTATGTGTACAGAGATTATTCTTAGAATTTGAGAATCTATGTTTACCCAAGGGGTGGCCAAGGGCAGTTGTTTAAGGAGGGTAATGATGGAACTCAGATAGATATGTAGGACAAAAAGGAAAGGGGGGCTGGCTAAGAGCCAACTCCCCACATTGTCATGTTCTGACATGGAACCCTAGAAAGCCCAAGAATTCTAAATCTAAATCTCGTCTTCCAGGACATTACTTAAGGTATATTATCAAGAAAGGAGTACAGGTCGCATTTACTTAGTAGTGTGAAAACTTTATGACTTTAAATTGAGATATATGGCCCAAGGCCTCCATTTTTACCCCTGCTTTAGGTCCCGCAAATATCAGGAATGGGTGTGATCAATATCCTTCCTTGGACCATGATGTTTTTAGGAGGAAAACACACTCTTAGCCTTTTTTGAGAATTTAACTAGAAAGTCACAAATCTGCTTTATCAAACCACAATCAACTCTCTAGCTTCATTGTTTACTCTTCAGAAAATGTATGGAAGGTTCTGTTCACTAAGGAAGCATATTTTCAAACAACTTCTCTTCAGTTTCATGTCTGGACACAAATCAGTGGCAGTCTAGACCCAACAAGGATATAAGAAGTGCATTAAGTTTAACAAGAGTCCAATTATTAGTATTTCAGGGGTGCTTGGGCTTGGACTGTCTAGCTTTATGAACACTCTGGGCCTCTGACTCAACTCATGGTTCACTAGTATTTTTGTTAAGGGAAGAAGAGAAAATAAAAATGAAATTCAAACCAGTGCCATCTCAGCTATCAGTCACAACTCTAACAACAAGCTTTCAGGAGGAAGATGTAGAAAATCATGGCTAGAGTAGTTCTTAGACTCTATCTGACAATGGGTTTAATTATCCATGTGCTTCCTACCACTGCCAATAGATAATGAGACTTGACTATTTGGTCCCGTTTCCCCCCCACTTAAAAGAATCAGAAAGATAGTCTCAATAATAAACTGTGGCCTATTATGTCATACTAAATAAGAAGAGAAATATCTTAGCGACATAAAACTATAGTTGCAAGTAATCAAAATGCACTGTCATTTTGTCAACCATATACCAAAAGTATTTTAAACTGAACTACATACCTCTAATCACTTGGTGAAACAAACTAATACATGTATGTATTTTTTATATACATGTGTATATAGACATATCTTTAGATAGTACTGCATTTTACTTTTTACATAGCCAAATGTTTAAGAAAAAAGTTTATGAGAACATTATATCCCCATTCTTCCAGTAATCAGATACAAACAACATTTTCATAGAAGGCAAATTATACTTTAAGTTGAAAGAATTTAAAAAAATGGTAATTCTAACAGGGAGTTTACACTGCCTTCTGAAGGAATATAATGACTAGTTAGGTACTAAAAATTATTTCTGGGAGGGTTTTTTACTGCTTGTGTGTTTAAAGGAATATCAATAGATACCTGCTATTATCCATGATAACTCATGGGTAACATTTAGTAGATTTGGTGAAGAAGAAAAAAAAAAAGTAAATTCAGACATAAAGGAAGAAAATGACAGTAATACAATAATAGTAGGGGCTTCAGCACCCCACTTACTTCAATAGATAGATCATCCAGACAGAAAATCAATGGGGAAACACTGGCCTTAAGTGACACATTAGACCTGATGGATTTAACAGACATACACAGAACATTCCATCCAAAAGCAGAATACATGTTCTTCTCAAGTGCACATGGAACATGCTCCAGGAAAGGTTACATGTTAGGTCACAAAACAAGTCTTAATAAATTTAAGAAGACTGAAATCATATCAAGCATCTTTTGCTACCCCAGTGGTATGAAAATAAAATCAATCCCAAGAAGAAAGTTGGAAAAACCACAAACATGTGGAGGCTAAACAACATGCTAGTAATAAACAATGGGTCAACAGAGAAAGAATAAATAAATACATTGAGACAAATAAAAATGGGAACCCAACAGTTCAAAATCTATGGGACATAGCAAAAATACTTCTAAGAGGGAAGTTTATGGTGATACAGACCCACCTCAAGAAACAAGAAAAAAATCTCAAACAATCTAATCTTATACCTAAAGGAACAAGAAAAGAACAAGTAAAATCCAAAGTTAGTAGAAGGAAGGAAATAATAAAGATCAGAGTGGAAATAAGTGAAATAGAGACCAAAAAAAAAAAAAAAATCAATGAAACTAAGAGCTAGTTCTTTGAAAAGATAAACAAAATCGCTAAACCTTTAGCCAGACTCATCAAGAAAAAAAAGAGAGGGCCCAAATAAATAAAATCAGAAATGGAAGAGGAGAAATTACAACCAATACCACAGAAATACAAAGGATCATAAGACAGTACTACAATCACATGCCAACAAATGGGATAACCTAGAAGAAATAAATAAATTCCTACAAACATACAATCCTTCAAGACTAAGTCCAGAAGATAGAGAAAATCTGAACAGACTGATCACTAGTAATGAAATTCGATCAGTAATAAAAAAAAAAAAAAAAAAACACCTCCCAACAAATAGAAGTCCTAGACCAGCCTCATAGGTAAATTCTACCACAAAACATTTAAACTAGAGTTAATACCTATCCTTCTCAAACCATCCCAAAAGACTGAAGAAGAAGGAATGCTTCCAGACTCATCCTATGAGGCCAGCATTACCCAGATACCAAAACCAGACAAAGCGACCATAAAAAAGAAACTCACAGGCCAATATCCTTGAGGAAGACTGATGCAAAAATCCTCAACAAAATATGAGCAAACTGAACTCAACCATACGTTAAAAGGATCATACACCACAATCAGGTAGAACTTATTCCAAGAATGCAAAGATAGTTCAACATCCACAAATTAATCAATGGGATACACCACACTAACAAAAAGGATAAAAATCATATGATCATCTCAATAGATGCAGAAGATGCATTTGATAAAATTCAACATAGAGTTATGATAAAAACTCACAACAGAGTGGATATAGAAGGAATGTACCTACGACAGACCCACAGCTAACATCACACTCAGTGGTGGGAAGCTGACAGCTTTTCCTCTCGGGTCAGTAAGAAGACAAGGATGCCACTCTCGCCACTTTTTATTCAACACAGCAT